ATGCATTTTGACCTCTTGTAGGAGCTCATTCTATTTTAAGCAGCGATAGATGGAAGTACTGTGTTTGGATTGAAATAAATTTATATACCCACTAAAGGTTCAAATCCAAACCATTTAATTGGTTGGTTTAGTTTTAATTGTGGTTTAATGCAAAGTAATTGTACCATCTTGAATATTACATGAACAGGCCTCCCACTTGTACAATTGCTTTCTTCCTCACCTCTTTCTGTTGCTCCCATCTGCTATTCCACCCAGAGATCTGCTCCAAGTCCTCTGACCAGAGGAGGGAGAATTGCAGCAGGGATTCAATTTGTCATTGGTCTCGCTTCTTCTACAGAAGGGCACCCCTGGATACAATCCACCAATAGCAATTGGGGCTAACGTAGCCAATCTGCTAATCCCAGACCCTTTTTGTGTGACACACAGTGTACATGATTGATTTGTTTTATCACAAGTTGACAACCCCACATAATGTGTCACCAGGCACCTTTCTTGGAGAACACCAGGACGCACTACCTTCTTCCACTATGAACTAGGTTTCTGCTGGTGCCTAAAACTGGTTACTTAGTCCTCAACCCTTTGGAACATGTGAGCAGAGAAGCACAAGAAACTGCCTGCGGGTGCCACCTCAAATGGATCTCATGGAGGATGTGGCTAGTCACAATGGCTTCCAAGAGGCCAAAGGTGAATTAAAGAAGGCAGGGGAGAGAACGAGTGAGGCTACAGGCCAGGAGAGAAATGAGGGGAAAATAGCAAGGCAAAGGGGGATACCGATGAAAGATCATTCAGACATACTTAAGTGGAAATAGCCTTCATTGTCCAACAAACAAGGAAAATAAGCACATAAAAAGATGACAAAACCCAAGGGGAGCAACAAATAACTGCAAAAATCTAATATAAATATATGAGAGCTCTTAAGATGTAGGTTATAATCCCTGCTCAACCATGACGTTTACTGGGTGAATTTGGGCCAGTCCCTGACTTTCAGGTTAACCCGCCAGACAGGGTTTGAATGGAAGATGACTACATGAGCTGCCTTGGATTACTTGCAAAAGAAGAAAGGAGGTATATTAATGTACAACTACTTCTATCACTACATTTCTTAAGATGTTCAGGTGGCAGTCAAAAGAGAGAACTGAGTAGGAAGATATACAGTGCAGACTCTACCTCAACACCCCTGCCCAGCAAGGACGGATCTGAAATATGGATTGTGTTTTTCTAAGCTCTGTTGTCAAGATGCTAGAAAACTTATAGGTTTAACTGCTCAGAGGCAATGAAGAACAATATTACAGGGTTCAGATTGAAAAAGCAGTGATTAGCTAGAAAAAATGTGTTCACTCTGCCAAAAACAAAAACAAATTACAATAATGCTTAATTTAATATGAAAGCAGATGTTTCTAACAGTTCACATATAATCCTGGTTGCTTGAATAAATTTTTCCAATCAGGGCAATAGGGTATCTCTGAATATGAATATGAATGCTAATACTCAGCCAAAACAAATAAACAAACCGAAAACATCTGCTTATCAGTGATTTCCACTTTTGGTTGCTTTGTGTTTGATTCCAGAAGATGTGGCTATGTTTATTCTGGAAAATAATAGACCTGCAGACATTTTCACTATGTATGAATGCAAAAGTTTGGCAGTGAAGAAAAACAATGTGCTAGAGGAGAGGTTTAGGAATACCCCGGACCAACAGAAAAGATGAACAAGGGGAGCTTAGATCAAATCAAACTAGAACTTTCCCTGGAAACAAAAAATGATAGCATTGAGGCCATCATGAAAAGGCTAAACTTACTTGAGAAGACAATAATGTTAGAGAAAGCTGAAGGCAGAAGATGAGGAGGAAGACCAAATACAAGATGGTTCAATTCATAAAGGAAGCCACAGCCTTGAGTTGACAAGAATTGAGCAAGAACGCTCAAGAAAAGGCCATTTTGGAGGGCATTCATCCATAGGCTCACTGTAAGTTGGAGAAGACGTGACAGCACATAACAGCAGACATTTTGCTGCTGAACCACCTCCACAAATGATGAACTGCCATGGATACAGAGCACACTCAGTCATAAAGATATACTAATATTTAGATCTGTTGTGTACAAAGAAAAAAACACAAAAGCAGTATCTAAAAGCTGGAGGCATTTTCCCCTCCACTTTTGATAGCTATATTTATCTAAAACCACTAAAAGGGGGGGGGGGCTACTATAATTTCAGCAGCAGATACAATGGATTCACAGCTGAGCATGAACATGGTTGCATTACCTCTGAGTCTGCAGTTCAAGTCAATTTCATCTAGAATATTAAAGCTGTACTAACTGATCAATAGGATGCACTTTGCTGCATTTTAGAAAATCATGCTTTGCCAAGGAAGGAAGGATATTAAGGAGGATATAAGAATAGGCTCTTGCCCTTGCAGTTGGTCATCATTCTCCCTCTCTGTCTCTCAATTTTATCCCAACAACAACAACAATCCCGTGGGGTAAGTTGGGCTTAGAGTTTGTGACTGGCCCAAAGTCACCCAGTTGCTCCATGGCTCAGCTGGGACTAGAACCCTGATCACCTGAGTCCTAGACCTATGCTCTTAACCACACTGGCATCACTGATCCTAAATAAATACAACCCTTTGAGTCAGTATTAGGAAGCAGTGTCCAGGAAAAGAGAGTTTAAGTTTCTATTCCCCACCCAGCATTTGTTTCCGGATATTATATTCAGCACTGCATACCTGGGTTATTGGAGCAGGAAGCTGTTTTTAGGCAGATATGGTTTTCCCAGTTAATATTGTTTGCTGCTAACACAAATTATGTTTGTATTTAAAGTTTTTCTAGGCTGACAAGTAGAGCTGTAACCAAGACATATTGATGAGATATCTGTCTGCATCTAACAAGTTGAATGACAGCAACTAGTTTTCATGAAAAGAGTAGATCTGGAAAACATCAAGGATCTAGAATGGGTAGGGAACTGTTAGCTCCCCAGATACTGAAGGGCTAAAGCTTTCATCAGCTCTAGCCACTATGACCAATGGTCACAGATGAAAACACAGCCTGCCAACATTTGGTGGGCCACACACTCCCTATCCCTGATCTAGAACAGCAAGTACAAAGACAGAGCTATTAAAATTGAAATTTAGCACACCCATGAGAATTTCTGACAAAATTCTTAAGAAAATGTCACCTTGCCTTTTCCTGTTTCCCCTTCTCATATGCACAGAAAAAGCAAAAGATTACTAAACACTATTTTAGGCTGTCCTGAGACCTCATTAAAGGATGGGGTAAAAATTGCTATGAATGAATGAAAGATCCAAACTATTATGAGGTAATGCAGTTTAGGGTGCAATCCTATGTATGTTCAGACAAAAAAGTACTACGTCTCCCAGTATTCCCTAGCCAACTTTTTTTTTCTGGCTAGATACACACAGGGTTGCACCTGATGTATGTTTAGTACTATTTTCAAAGAACCTAAAGTATTCCCTATTCCAGCTAAAGTGTGTATTAAAGCAAAGGACCTTGGGTAACCAAAGCTGCAATGTAGATCTTCAACACTGATTTGCTCATTCAATTATAGCAAAGCAAACTCTGAATGCAACTACAACTATAGTTTAAGTACAGTTGTGTTCTTCTTCTCTATAGCTGGCAACTCTTCATTAGAGAAACTTGCCTAGTTGGTTGGCTGGAAGAAGAGAAGACAATCTGAGACAGCAGCAACTGTTGTCAAGAGGCCTGCTGAACCTGCCCGCTCCATCCACCTGTTTCTTCCTACTGCCATGCCAATATTCTCAAAGTCTTTCCCAGACATTTAAAGCTGGGATAGTGCTATATTTTATCCTACACACACCATCAGTCTCTATTGTAGTACTATGGCAGCTACATTCATGAATCACAGCCTCTCTTCTTATATTAAAGGAGCAGTAGATCCTTAAAGCCAGAAGATACATCCATGTAGGGACTGAGAACTGTGAAAATACTCTAGGAAGGACACATCACTTTGGTGCTTCTGTGAACACTCTCTCCAGGCAGGCAGGCACCATGCATACTAGAATGGCAGTTCCAAAATGCTGCAGAAGAAACATATTGAGGACCTACCAGTCAACACCACTACCAGAAAAAAAGGAGGAGGTTGCATGCAGCAGCGGCACCAAAAGGATGAAATGCCACATACCACACACTATATTAAGAAAGTAGATTACCACCTGCAGAATATTTAAAAGAGCACTATGTGTTTTCAATAGATGAGATGTTGTGTTTTAATTATTACCATGCAGTTTGTGTGTCACAAAAATGTTGAATTATTAACTTTTTTAAAAAACTGGAAATTGTTGCTTTTAAAACAAGTATGTATATGTTTGGGTCTGTAAAGCAAAGTGAACAAACATTTTCTTGTATCTCATTACAAAGTAAATTCTTTCCTACTCACACATAAAATCATATAAATCACTGAATGGAGAGGGAAAGGGAACCTTGCCTTTTTTGCTTTGCAAAAATGTCATGGGAAAGGGTTGAGGGGACACACATTATAATGGAGGAGAATGCTTAAGAGTGAAACATTTAATGCACATGTCTGCAGAAGATACATTCTTTTAAATTACTCACCTGCTTCACAGAAATTACTTAATGGTCAGTGTAAATTGATTCTCTGTGTCCTTCTCACAGCATCAGAAAGATAAATACTTTTCTTCTATAATGTAATGGACGGAGGACCTTACAAAGCTTTCAACATTTGAACAGGTGGCATTCAGACACACTTTCAAATAGGTACTTATCTGGATATGTATTCTGCTTTTGTTGAAGCATATGCATCATTGCTGGAAAAATGTATTTTTGCATATATGCATTTCATTTGTATTACATTGCTATGGATATATACAAAGTCATGCATGCATATTAAACTATGAATCCACCTAACATCTGCAGAATGCATCCCTACACTGAGCCAAAAGCCAGTTGACAAATTTAAAATTCATAACACTTGGTAAGAATCAAAAGCAGCATGGTTGGACAACTTACTAAGTATACGTCCAGCACAGAAGCATTATCATTCTCTGTCTCTACCGTGCTCTGTTCTGAAGTCAAGCAGATAGCACTGTCTTCTAAGGTGAACGTTGAACTTGAAGGCAGCCCTTTACTGAATATAAAGTAGCACACAGCAAGCATGAAAAAAGAGAAAGAATTGTTGTTAGGAATCATATTTATGGTGTGAATTATTTGACGTTATGCTTCATGCACATTTGCCACATCCTGGTTAGCTTGGTGAGCCATTTAGTTATCTTGCAGGGCTGTTCATCTGCAACTGAGCGTCTCAGCATCCAAAAGCTACCCTGCTTCAGGGCCCCAGTGTGCAGGTTGCTACTCCCAGCTGAAGAATGAGCAGAATTGCATGCAGGTATGAGGGAAAGATTTCAGTTGCTGTTGAATGCCCATCCCTCTGCCCCAAGACAGAAACATGTTTGGAAGAGCAATTGCATATCCATGCATCTATTGAGGTAAGTATTGTAATATTCTCTCTAGAACTGCTCTGCAATACATTCCTGCGTCCTAAATTTACATTTCTTGACATATTTCTTCTTTGCATTAAAATAAGAGGAAAAAATAAGGATCTGTTGTTGATTCAAATTCTTTTCAAGATTGCATCTCTATAAATCTGAAGTGGATTGCAATTGGTATCAGAGCAAACTGCCCAAGGGTACTGTAGGGAAAATGGGACAGCTGTATTTTTACATGTTTGAAAAAATCCATTTATATTCCACCTCTTCCAAAGCTTGAGGCAACATGATGACTTTTCTTCATTCTTTCAGTTTGTTTACACACAAACACACAATTTAAGGGATGTTCAGTTGTTATTTGGGAAACAGGAAAAGCAAAGCCTGACACACCCATAGAATAGGTCAGGCTTCACAGTGACTGATATGTCATGGCTCTTCCTGTTTCATCCATCATAAGCTATAAATGAAGATATTATTAGTGCTATGGCTATTTCGTCTGCAATCATGATGGTTTTATTCATGTCTTTTCTGCTGATTTATGTCCATAAGTAATTCAAAGAAACAAAAAAACAAAAGGCAGAGGTTTATAAAACCATGTTGGAAATTGATTATCCTAAACTACATTCTTAGAATGGGAAGTGTTCACACAACAGAGCACATGCATCTGCAGATCTGAATGAGAAAGAGAATGCAGCTGGTGCAGCTATATATCCAAATCTCTCTCTCTCTCTCTCTCTCTCTCTCTCTCTCTCTCTCTCTCTCTCTCTCTCTCTCTGTGTGT